CCACTGGACTGATAACTTGGTGTTGTCAAAGGTCTTTTCTTTTCTCTATTTAGATGGTCTCATGCAGCTGATGTCTTCAAACTCTGGATTCTCCTGTTTCTACCTCCAGAGCGCTGGGGTTACAGGTATGTGCCTCCGTGCCCTGTGGGGCCCAGGGTTTTTATATAAAGAGCTGTAAGGCATATGATGCATTTCAGTTTTCTCCTTTGGTAAACATGATCAATGGCCAGCCATTTCTAATAAGCTGGCCTTGTAATTGCAACCCTTTCCACATGGGCGGGCACTGACTGACCTGTGAACTCAACAGATTTGTTGACACTACTTAAGCCCTGGATCTCCTTCTGTGAGCACACAGTAGGCTTTGGGAAAGATCTGTCCCTACCAGCTTATGGGTTTTGTGTGTGTGTGTGTGTGTGTGTGTGTGTGTGTGTGTGTGTGTGTGTGTGATGTATATGTGTATGATGTATGTGTGTGTATATGTATATATGTGTGTGTGTGTATGTGTGTGTAGTGTATGTGAAGGAGTTGGTATGTGTGTGTGGTGAGTGTGTCCTCTGTGGTTTCATAAAGGAAAGTAAATGTCCAGAGTCTCAACATCAGTTCTCAGGTGTACAAGATCGTGCCCAGGGGCCTAATTTTAAAGGGACTCCTGAAAAAGGAAGAACAGGTAACTACAATGGGCTGCATTGTTGGAGGACCACACGGATCACAGCTAACCAGCTCAGCCACCGGGTGAGCCAGACTGGGCCCCACCCAAGCCCAGTTTACTCTGTCTCCCTGGCATCTGTTGCTAGGCTCCCTAGGTTTGCCTTCCTCTGTGGTTTGGGCTGCAGGGTGACCACAGAAGACAGAGGCAGAGGGAAGCCAGGGCAGGGTGGCTCTCAGCCTCCCCACTAACCAGGTAGCCAACATGAAATCGTTTCTCTCCATCACAGTCCTAACACTTGTTTTTCACAGACATGAATCACCAGCCCCATGGATGGTGGACAACAGGGTAAACGCCTCTAATGGCTTGCACACCCAAGGTGCTCACATGTGTGTTCTTACTTTGCTTGGATCCTTAGACAATTGCCTAAAAACCATAGCTGTGATTATATGTTATGATAACTGTGGTTCAGGCCATCACCCAGGCTTTGTGCGGCATCTTCTGTTTACAAAACACTTGACTCACACACACATACACACACACACACACACACACACACACACACACACACACATGCACACACACGCATGCACATACACACACACACACACGCATACACACACACACACACACACACACACGCATACACACACACACACACACGCATACACACACACACACACACACACACACACACACACACACACACTGGGGCTCACAGGTGCTTGACTGGTCCACAGATGTGTTGCAGGAGGGGAGCCAGGTTTCAACTCCAGGTCTCCACTCTAAGTCCCTGAACATCTGTCTGTCACGGAACATGTCCAGCATTCTGTGTAACACAGAGGTGCTCCCTGCCAGACACCCATAGGTCCTCACGTGGGAGCAGGCAGTCATCAGACTCAGGGAGCTCTTGGCTGTCTCCCTGGGCTTAACCCGGACTCGTAGCCCTGTAGGAAGCAGAGCTAAGAAAAATCCCTGGAGAAACCAGGATTGTCAATCACGTGGGCCTATTTTCTTCAAATGAAGGAAATGAATGATGCCTAGTCACCTGGAATGCCAGAGTGAAAAGTAATCAATCAACTTGGTGATTCTCAGCCTCCACCTGAATCTGCCCAATATCGTGAGCATTTTTTAGGCCCCAGTCCTTCAGTGAATAGAACACATCCCTACGAAAGAGTCCCCATGTACTTTGCATGAGGATTTAGGCTTATCACAGGTCCTTCCTCTAGGCTCTAGCCCTGAGCTCTGTTTATCAGCCAATATAATCCATTCTTATTATAAAGGTCACAGGTCACAAGTTCTACTCTGTTTAAATGTGTGAGAAAAGTAAACCACAAGGTCAGTCTCTGGAAGGCTATGACCCTCTCCTGGATTGTGGTCAGCCCCCCTACCCTACCCTCCACCCCTGCCGGCCGTGAGGTTTGCGGGAGGTGGAGTTTCCCTACATAACCCCACCACCCATCTAAGGCCATTGGCAGGGCAGTGAACATACCAAGGTCAAGGATGGAAGCTAAATCTCCCATGAATATCAGGGGCACTACCAGTAGTACCATTGAATGGGAGAGTGGGATCATCCTACCTGCTGCCTGAAAAGAGTGGTACCCCAAGCCAGCACCCAGCTCAGGCTAAAGTGCACTTGGACTCTGAGTCACAGTCCTGACCACCTCCAGTGAGAGGTGATTCTGGAACTTGAGATCTAGAAAGCAACAGCAAGCTGGTTGCTAGTGTGCCAACCAGCTCCTGGGCTGGGCTTCAAGCAAGAGTACCTCATTCTCATACTGTCCTGTGCCTCAGTGTTAGCTTAGCGCCTCCCCATCCAGCTGCAATGGATATCTCAGGAATGGCTTCGTGTTTTCATTGTTTGGAACAGATGGCCACTTCATACATGATAGGTGGGTGGACAGATGGACAGAAGGATGGTTCTCCTAATAAGACAGAGACTTTTCATAGGTTATCATGAACTCTTTGATTTTTCTTTTCTTTCTTTCTTTTTTTTTTTTTTTAAGATACGATATCACTCTGTAGCCTAGGGAACTGGCCTGAAACTATGTGGCCTAGGCTAGCTTTGAACTTGTGAAAATCATCCTGCCTTAGGCATCCCAGTGCTGGGATTACAGATGTGAGTCGCCATGTCCATCCAGTTCATTGATCTTTAAGTATTTTGTATTTTTGTAGTGAGCAGAAACAGAAACTTTCAGAAGTTAGCACAGAGCAGTGGCCAGTCAGGGGTGACGTCAGGGACGGCCACGTGGAGAAATGAGAACAGGGCTGAGGGACGTAATTTGGAACTCCCACATTTAAAGGCTCAGGAACAAGCCAAGACAGAGAAGGGGTAGTTAAAGAGAAAACAGAGGTGTCTCCTGGAAGTAAGAGAACAAAGTTGAGAAAGCCTTTAATCTGCAAGTAGGAAAACAATGATTACTGTTGGTAGAGCCTGGGACTGAAGCCTGGGAGAAAGGCCGGAATAGAGGGAGGGGCTGGGGTGCCAGAGATCTGTTTATTGGTCCATGGGGTTTTTAAATTTTTAAAAGTTATTTTACATATATGGGAATTTTTGGCTACATGTATGTCTGTGTACTACATGTGTCCCTGTTGTTTGAAGAAGCCAGAAGAGTGTGTCAGATTTCCCGGAACTGGAGTTGTGGATGGCTGTGAGCCACCATGCAGGTGCCGGGGATCAAACCCATGTCCTCTGCAAGAGCAGCCAGGGCTCTTCAGTGCTGAGCTTCTCTCTAGCCCCTGGTCCAGAGGTTTTTGAGGATGGGAGAGACTCGAGTCTGTTTGAAAGCTGAGAGTGAGGAAATATGGAGCAGGGGATGTGGGGAAGTCGCTCAGAGGGAGACTGCCCACGGAGGCACAGTAGGGAAGGGGCAGGACCAGGAGCTGCCCTGGCTAGGAAGGGCCTGCTTGAATGGGGTGGGTATGAAGTTAAGAGAACCGAACCCAAGTGGTCAGGGGTTGTGGGGGTGGGAGTAAGAAGCTCTGCTCTTGGTTGGGGACAAGTTAGGCAAGGTTGGGGCAGGAGGTCAGAAATGGGAGGGATCTAAACTGGCTAGCAGGGTCACACCATTGTCAGTAATTGGAAACAGCGGGGGCCAGGCCATGCCAGTACTGGGAATAGTGGGGGTCATACCATTGCCAGTACTAGGAGGCAGAATCCTTTTTTGGAGAGTCCCATCAAGCCCACCCAGTTACATGAGGTAACTGAGGATCCCTTGGAGATAATTTTCAATCCATGTCGCTCTGAGTCCACTAGCACCCCCAAAGTATGCAGGAATCCAGATGTATTTTTCCAAGCCATCCTTCAGTACTGGGGACCCCTGGGATGGCCAGAGCCATGCCAGAAATGCCCCCCTTTCACTGTAGGACCCAAACAACCACTAAGCACCTCCGAGGAAAACCAGTTCTGTTGTTCATGGATACAACATACTGCAAATACCACCCAATGCTTTCCTAAAAATGTTGCAACCAACACCTACTAAACTCTCTTATGTATTCCTCTGCCAAATAGGTGCACACGCTCTCTCTCTCTCTCTCTCTCTCTCTCACACACACACACACACACACACACACACACACACACACACACACACACGCATGCACACACGCACAAAGCCCACTAGGTCAACTTGATAGCAAAGGAAAAAGTAGCTATTTTGCTCAAAGAATAGTCCATTCAAGGTGTTTTGTCAATAAGCAGTGGCATGGGAAGGCAAGCTTTTCTGCTCAGGGTTGTATTTACTGGATAATAGAATACCCAAGGGCAGGAAGTAATTCAAAGACTTCAACGTAGATGGAATAAAAAACAGCAATTTCCAAAAAAATAAAAAATAATATTTTTCCAAGTATTATTTAGTTTATCTTAGCGATCCTGTCTGTGAGTTTAATATTCTAGAAAACATGTAGATTATCCTTAAAAACCAGGTCTCAGAGTAAATCTTTACTACCTGAGACATGTAGAAGTCAACTCAGCTACACATGATTGGCAAGTGTCATTCTCAGAGAGGAAGCACAGGGGATGTAGGACCTCATTGATAATCTGATTTTTACAGGGTATCCATAGCAACCAAGGAGATTGAAGGGTTCTGAAGATGGAGTCAAAGGTTTACCAAAAAATGTAAGTGAGTAACCTTCCAGCTGAAGGTCCTCACACCTGAAATAATATATCTAAAATCTACCAAGTGAACTCCCCCAAAGGAAAACAAAGACTAAACCCACTTCAGCAGACTCCTAAGAATGCAGGCCCGCACTCAAATATACAAGGGTTCCTCTTGCACTCCAGCCCTGAAATTATAGTTCAGACAGTCAAAACTACCAGACTACAGAAAACTGCCAGGTCTCGATTGACTTGTACCTTTCCGGCTCCTGCGAACTGGATGTCTGTCGAGAAGACTTAGCGCGGAGGGGAAACACCTCAGCATTGGAGGATGACGGCTTTAGGTGAGCCTCCTGAGCTCTTGGACAGGGAACAGCATCTGGAGAGGCATGCTTGGCACAGGAGTGGAAATTCTGGAAAAACTGGAGATCAAATAGCCACTCCTGACCACGTCACCTTTATGCCTGCCCGGCTCACTAGGGCAGCTGCCTTTGCATAATGCAAGGGCGTGGCCCTGAGCCCACAGGAGGGTTTCCAAATGGAGGATCTCCTCTGACCATCTTGTCTAACTGCAGCGATTTAGAGTGTGAGGCACCCCTCCCCTGGTCTCTGCTGTAGTAGCACATCCGTGTTGCTTGGGTGTTGGACTCTGGAGAGATCAGCGTAAGTACAGAGCTCGCTTTCTTAAGGTCAACCTTACTGACATTTAGTGGTCCAGTGATTTGTTTGGGGAGGCTGTCTGGTGAAGTATCCTGGCTCTCACTCAGCAAATGCCAGCAGTACCCTTCATCCCAATGCAGCAACCCAGACAGTCTCTAGAGATTGCCAGGTGGTTTCAGCTGAGAACCCCGATAGAGAGGAGACCCAAACACCCATAGAGAGAGTTACCTCCAAACACCCACAGTGAGGGAGGACATTCACTTACTGATCGCTACAGAGGTGCCAGGGTCCCACAGACCCATGGCTAGACACAACCGTATTGGAGACAGTGGAACGGCGAGAACGCACCATTAACGCCTGCTGTTCTAGACTACACGGAACATGAAATCCAAAGCAAAGCTGTTGTCAGGAAGAGACCGAAAGCCAGCACTGGGAACCCAGCAAGAGGTGGCCTAGGGTAGGGAGCTGAGAGCTGAGATTTCTGAAGCCATGCGGCCGTGTGGAAGTGAAGGGTGGGATCCTACAGGTAGGCTGGTAGAGCATCAAAGTGAGGAGGCCAAAACTTGGGGTTAACTTCCTGGTACCTCAGGCCAGACCTGGCCAGAGAACATAGGCTGAGCATTCAGTCCTGTACCCTAACAGAGAATGTGGGGTGTCAAACTCCCTGGCAGAGTTTGACAGTCAGGTTTGGAAGAGAGTCGCTGCTATGACAGGGGAGCGCCACACAGAACAGGGACTAGCAGGCACAGATGCTGCCAGCCTCACAGTGCACTCTGTGTGACACACACACCCTTTTTTCCTTCTAGATAGCATCTCTGGAGTCATAGGTTACACCCAGGTTAGAGAGGTCCTGCGAAAGTCCAGTGTCACTTGATCCGCTTTGGAGGTGGTTGAAAGCTTCTGTTGGCCTTTGGGGGCTTTCGGGGAGCTCTGGCCCCTTTTCAGGCAGCTGCCATTCTTTAAGCCCAGAATTCTGCCATTGCCTTGGGCTATGTCCAAAGCCAAGCTTCTGGTGTTCCGGTTTCTAGATGAATGTGTTATGACTGACAATGTCTGCATACAGCGGCTGGAAGGAGACAGGGAGAAACATCAGGCTGCCCCAGGTACAGGCTGAAACGTGAGCGCTTGGCTGCTTCCGCGACTCCCTTAGACATTGTTAGGAGGCTCTTTTTACAGTTCCTCGTGTTCAGGAACTTGAACTTTATCCCAGAAGCCGTAAAGGGTCCACTGAAAATGTCTGAATAGAGACAGGAAAGATTCTGTCTGAGCAGAGCTGAGCGGCTACAATACAGTTGAAAATCACCCTCCCTATTCTTTTGCAGAAATGTCTTGGCTGAGTTATTCTTGATTAAGTCGAGAGTCTGTTGGCTAAGCTTTAGCCCAACCCTCCCTCTAAGCAATGATTTTATTTGAAGTTATATATATATATAAATTATTCAGGGATGGGATTAATAATAACTGATTAATAACTATTAATAATAATAGCTATTAAAAATTAATAGTTTTAACGTGGGGTTTTCTCACCGAGGAGGAACATTCTTCTTTGCACCACTCAGTGTGGTCTGTCCTCCAGGAAGATACATCAGTGTTCTTCCTGCAGGCCCTGCATATTCTATTTATTTTTTAATTGTTATTAGATTTATTTAGTGTGCGTATGTTTATGAGCGTTTATATGCCACTGCACATGTGGACATCTTTTGGACTCCTGGGAGTCAGCTTTCCCCTTCCGCTGTATGGGTCCCAGTGATTGAACTCGGGACCTTAGGCTTCATGGCACATTTTTCAGCTGAGTCATCCTTCTCCCCCACCCGACCCCTGCGTATCTCTTAATTCCTGTGTGTGCCTTTGGATCAGATCTTACATTTTTCCCCCCACGATTAAAAAAAAAATCATGATGGTAGGCCACAGGGCTGTGTGGGCCTTTCTGTTACTACACTCTCAGGTGTACAGTGACCTTTTAGATTGGACATAAGCAGAATCTTGAAGCCTTAAGTTTCTTCCCTGGGGGCTGGAGAGATGGCTCAGCACTTAAGTGCATTGACTGTTCTTTTTTTTTTTTTTCAAATTTATTTATTTTTATTTTATGTGCATTGGTGTTTTACTGTGGGTGTCAGGTTCCTGGGTACTGGAGTTACAGACAGTTGTGAATTGCCATGTGGGTGCTGGGAACTGAACCCAGGTCTTCTGGAAGAGCAGCCAGTGCTCTTAACCACTGAGCCATCTCTCCAGCTCCACATTGGCTGTTCTTGAAGGGGACCAAAGTTTGGTTCCCAGTGCCCACTTTGGGATGCTCACAATCACAGATAATTCCAGCTCCAGGAGATTTCATACCGTCTTCTGGCCTCTCCAGGCACCCGCATGCAGGTGCACACACATGATTTAAAATATTTTTTAAATTAAATTTTCATCTCTTCCTTTTAGTAGTATTTCCCCAGTGGTCTGAAGAGCAGAATTCTTAGTGCCATGGTTTCAAACGGCTGTGATCCCAACCTTCCTTCTTTAAGTAGACACTCTACGGACAAGGAGGACACGGTGGCTTTGAGCTCTAATGCCTGCACTGTAATAAGCCAGGATAAGGGCTGTTAAACCTGAAATAGCATCTAAAATTGCTGACCCAGAAGATGGGGAGTAGTGTACTCAGGGTCCTCTCAACAAGACACTCTTGCTGGAAGGAGAAGATCTAATCATGAAAGCAAAAGATAAACTGATGGAGCAACTTGGAGACAGAGCCGTCCTTAAGTCAGGGAGTCATTGTTACAGTTAAGTTAGGATGCTCCTGTGTTCTGTGGAGGGGCACTGTGCACTGTAAGAGAATGCATAGATCCTGGGGCTCCCATGACCTGATGGAAATCTCCAGCTCTGGACAGGGTGACCTCTCTGTGTGCCTCAGTTCCCTTGTCTGTGAAATGGGAGCAATAATGGTCCTTAGTTCACAGGGTTTATGAGGACTAGATGAACTGTCGTTATAACAACGCTGAGCATAAGCACAGTGAGACACAGTTGGTCTGTGTCATTCCAGCACAAAACAGCTGAAAGAAAATTCCATCTGCATTCATTGGGCCAGTCACAAAGGACGTGGTCGTAACCTGTGTCCCAGATAAACCTGTACCTCATTCCAGTCCCACCCAGTGAGACTCCTATCTGGCCCTCAGCTCATGACCCCCAGACTGGGGGAGCCATGGTACCAGCAGTACTGTAAGCTGGTGAAACACACAACCTCAGCATCAGCTGAGTCAGGGCTCCAGGGTCCAGTGGACTAAGCACACGGCTTTTCTAGAGTAAGAGGCCTGAACTTTGTGCTGGTTCCTTCGGTGAGACACCTCACTTCCTTGTTGTGCTGCAATCTTGAAATCTCTTGTACCTCACCAGCCAGATAAGGAGTGATGACTATGTTTTTAAAGAATGGGGTTGGGTAACAGAAGCTCATAACTTCCCCTTTGGGGTGAAGAGACCCTCCCACAGCCGAGATGCTTGCCTCTGTGTGTGTGTGTGTGTGTGTGTGTGTGTGTGTGTGTGTGTGTGTGTGTGTGCATGTGTGTGGTTTTCCCATGTATGTTGGTGCATGAGTGTGTGTGGAAGGCAAAAGCTGACATCTGGTGTTTTCCTCTACCACTTTCCACCTCACTTACCGAGTGAGGTAGGGTCTCTTAGAGCTGGAAGATGCAGCAAGTCGAGCTAACCAGCTTCCCCTGGGATTCTGCCTCCACCTCCAGAACACAGGGAACGCAGGTGGGTCGCCACACCCACCTGGCATTTACATAAGTACTGGAGACCTAAACTCTGGTCTTCATGCATGATGGGCAAGTATTTTATCCACTGAACCATCTCCCCAGCCTGGCAGAGGTTTTCAAGGGGGTGGTGGTTATACAGAGACAAATCATTTCAGACTATGAAAAAAATGAAACATTCAACTCTTCAACTCTAATAGTCTATGATTATTAAAACGTAATGCCACACATTTTGACTCCAGTATCCTAGATCCACGGCTAACTTAAAACATATTTGTTATTATTATTGTGTGTGTGCATGTGTATGCAAGGGTGCTTATGCCACAGCATGCATATGGAGGTCAGAGGATAGCTGTAGAGCCAGTTCCCTGCTTCATCGTGGGTTTTGGGAATTGAACTCAGGTCACCAGGCGTGCTTGTAAGGCAAGTGCTTTTACCCACTGAGCCTTCTCAGTGCCCAACTCTTTTTTTTTTTTTAAGATTTATTTATTTATTATATATACAGTATTCTATCTGCACACCAGAAGAAGGCACCAGATCTCATTAGGTGGTTGTGAGCCACCATGTGGCTACTGGGAATTGAACTCAGGACCTCTGGAAGAGCAGTCAGTGCTCTTAACCCAGTCAGTGTTCTTAACCTCTGAGCCATCTCTCCAGCCCAGTGCCCAACTCTTTAACACTGCTTTTTGTTCATTTCTAACGTTAGCATGTTCATCTCCACGAGAAATCAAAAAGGCATGGGCAGAGAGAAAACGGAAACCAGGGAGCAGGAGGCAGATAAGAGACCCGTGCCTCGGGCTCAACAATATCAGGTATTACAACGGCAAGGAGCCCACATTAAAATGGCAAAGGCGTCACAGTAAGTGCAAAAGCTCACGTGCGCACTGTCAATGGGAGTGACCCACAGATAGCTGATCCGTCGATGAGCCATACAGCATGATCCATTCAGTCTGGGACAGGAAGGGATTCTAGCACAAGGTCAAAGCTGCACAAACGGTGAGGACATTAGAGTCTGTCTGCAAAGTGTGAGTATTGCAAGACTGCAGTTGCATGAGGTCCTGAGAGGTTTTCAAATTTGGTTTGGGGATGTTGGGAATCAAACCCAGGGTCTCTCTTCTGCTAAGCACAAGTCAGTGTGCTGTACCACAGCCTGGGTCCCATGGGTGGTCAGAGTCGCAGGGACAGAAGTTGGCACCGTGGGTGACAGAGGCTGGGAGAGGAAGAAATGGGAAGCTGATATTTAAGTTGTGCAAGAAGGAAATGTATATCGTTAAGACGGTAAATTTTTGTTGTGCATATTTTGCCACAGTTTAAGTAATTCTATTTTTAAAAGGCAAGTGTCCTCTTTTGTTTAGGTAACATCACAAAGAGAGGAAGAAGCAAGCAAGGCTAGGCTTCCCCTAGGAAATGGAAGGGCAGTGGGAGTCCCGAGTGACTCCAGATGAAATCGACCACGCAAAACAAACAAACAAACAAACAACAATAAACCTAAGGAATCTGTGTGGGGAGAGGTTCTCAGAGAGTGTGGGCAACCACCCTCTCCATTTTCAAATCACCCCTACCTGTAGCTCTGGACATCTGAAGTCCCCCAAAGTGGAGTATCACTGGTGACTCCATGTGCATATTCAGACAGCCACCGGGAAAACAACAGCCAACTGGGCCTGCTAAGCTGGTGTGGCATGTTGAGGACTGCCAATTTAACTTGAAAAGGAGGGGCTGAGGATGGAAGACCCTTCCCTTACCCACTCTCTGCAAGACACTGAGTTATACCGCCAGCCAGGGAAGAGACTGTCAACGCTGTCTTCATTAAGCAATGGTGGGGTGGGGAGATGGCTCTCTGGGCAGGTGTGCTCACTGCACAAGTACAAGGACCTAAGTTCAAATCCCCAGAGCATACATAAAAAGCCTGGTAAGGCTGTGGGCGGCTGTAACCCTTGCACCACGGGACATGGAAACAGGAGGATTTCTGGACCTTTCTGAACCAGCCTATCTTCTGGTTCAGTGAGAGACCCTGTCTCAAAGGAATATGCAAAAGATTGAGCAAGGAACACACACACACACACACACACACACACACACACACACACACACACACGGCAATGGTATTTGTGATAGTATGTAAAGTTCTTCTTTTTTTTTTTTTTTTTGGTTTTCCGAGACAGGGTTTCTCTGTGTAGCTTGTGCCTTTCCTGGAACTCACTCTGTAGCCCAGGCTGGCCTCGAACTCAGAGATATCCGCCTGCTCTGCCTCCCAAGTGCTGGAATTAAAGGTGTGCGCCACCACTGCCCGGCAGTATATAAATTTTTAAAGTGTTGAGTATATGCACACTATTATATTTATGAAAAAACATAAAAAAATAGGGAAAAATGGGCCCTGCCATCTTTGTGTTATAAGGACACAGGGAGCTTTCTTCCTTCCTTCCTTCCTTTCTTCCTTCCTTCCTTCCTTCCTTCCTTCCTTCCTTCCTTCCTTCCTTCCTTC